AACAATTGCCGGATTAAATCGTTCGACTTATTAATAGTAGCAGCAAAGTTGCTCAATTTAAACTGGCAATTACTTGGCTTATTATTTTAATCAAGTTTCTGTTGTTTATTTGTGTTTTCAATTTTTGAATATTTGGGTATCCAGTGATGGTCTATAAATAGGCTGAAAACATTAATTTCCAGTAATCTGTTTACTCTGGTGTTGATGTTTTAAATTAAATGAATAATACAATTGTTTAAACCTAATTAAAAGAAAATTTAAGAGAGCATTACATTACTTTAAAGGAAAGGATTTTAATGCTTAAAATGATGTGTTTATGGTTCAAAATTATAAGTTCAAATCATTAAAAAATTTCAGAAATAAATAGTCAATCACTTAGCAAAAGATCGTGATTTTCATATGCAGAGTGACAAGTTATAAAATCAATAAAAATAACTGAATAATGTTTTCTTAAGGTCAGGAGTGCTTGGTTATTTCTTATTTTACATAAATTTAAAATAAATTCTCTTCTGCAAAACTTTTTATTAACATATAAAGATTAATTCATGTAACAAGTATTAATTGTTTAATGACTTATTATTTTTAGTGTTTGCTGGTTAAAAAATTTGAAGTTTCTGAAAATTAGAAAGAACATACATGAATTTTAACAGTAATAAAAGCAAATTGGAAATTAAACATATATAATCTGTTATGTATATGGAATATGCCAAGGCAGAATATATTTTTAATTTGTTAAGATACTCGCATGTGAATTATATTTAATTTTTTTGTAACACTTTGAATATATTTGATGTAGATTAGCTCTAATGAATCTATTTTACTGTTTAATTTCAAATAATTAGAACTGAAATTATGCCCAATTCCATTATTGCCATAGTGGTGCTCCTTCCTGCCATTCTGACCATCAAACTTACCCTCATCCTCTGTAAAAAAACTTAGGAAAATAACTCAAGTTGACATTCTTTCATTGATTTTGATTATTTTTCCATTTTATATTATTAATACAAAGATTTTAAATTAAATTTCAGTCAGGACTGACATAATTTATTTCCAATAAAATGGTACCTAAGTGAAGAGCATCTTTTATAGGCAAGAAAGAAATGGGAAAATTATAATGTCTACTTAATTTACATGCAGGAATGAATACCTAATATATTTTACTGGGCACAACTAGTGTTTTATAAAACATAATGACCCAAATTTGTATGTGAACTAAGCAGTTTCATTTACAGTTTTAATAATATATATATGCAATCAAAATTATATATATATATGGATGGGCAGT